TTAACGAGCTTATCCGAAGCGCAACAATATTTTACGACGCAGATAGGCATGCAATGTGGTAGAGATTTTTTGTCTTGCGCATAGTTAATACTCGTCTGTATAACACCGTAACATAACAAATTTATTGGTAATTAATAAAGAAATACAAAACAGTTCTCTTTACTTTCCTCGTGGGTTGAGTTTGTCGTGGACTGGAAGAATAACATACCCGAGACTTTGTTATATGTTGAACATACTACAACTAGCGTAATGTAACAAACTTCAAACTACAGATACAAATAGTTTCAATAGATACAAATAGTTGGAGCATCGGAGAATTTCAATCAACAATCAATTACCTATTTGTTTTAATTGGTAATTACGAATTAGTAGCTTCCCATGCCAAAACAATGTTACCTTGATACTATTGATCACTAGCTCTTTCTCGGCGTTCTTCTGGCGTTAATATGTTTTTTTTTAAATTAATTCAGGTAGAAAGCTTTTGTTCTATTACTATCCTTAATCTATAACTACGGCTACAATATGATTGGAATATCCACAATAAAATAAAATTACACGACGGTGTGACTAGCTTCCATTTTTAATCCGGCCCAATTTACGCTCTGGTAGCAATCGCAGTCGCTTATTAATTCAGTGTTTGCAACTGCGCCAAACCATAGTTGCGACGACACGAGCTTAATCCAAGTTATCTATAGTCTTTCTGTGGAGTATTTTGCCCAAACTTTATAAACGAAATATGTATCAATGTTTTACAGTATTTACAATACACTAATATATAGATTTAAACTAGTAATCTCTAGAAAAAATAAACATGGTCTTTCTTTGTTATAAATATTCTGCGTAATACTTTTTAAAAGTTAAATATTATTAATGTTACTCTCGTATTTTTTATAAGGTTTTAAATTTTTTATATGTACTTTTGTCGCAAGTCCCAGGCGCTGTCGAAGTCGCCTGTGTCCCCATCTATCACGAGATGGACCCGGCACCCGCACGGTGAACAAATGGAACGCTAAGAAATAGGTCTTTTATGTTCGGGCATAACTCCGTCATACATAGATGGATTTTCAAAATTCTTTTTTTGTTCGAAAGGGGTTTATTCCGAACTGGTCCTATTTTAATTTCATATAGATCAGATGATGAGTTTCGAAAACAGACAACGGAACTCGAAAAAATGACAGCAAATCAACCGCGATTGCTGCTAGGTTTTTAGTGCTTTAAGCTGGTATTGTTTGAAGTCTGTTCAATTTTTTTAAAGGGATTTATTATTAATACTATGAAATCTAAGCTAATACTATGAAGCTAAGCAAATAGACTCGCAGTTCTCTCTTGTGATATGGTATGGTATGCTCAGGTTTCTTATGATATGTAATTTTTTATCATATTTTTTTTTCAATATGTGATTTCTAATAATTATTCAATAATTTTATGAAATTAAGATAAGAATAAATATGTGTGGTGACGGATCAAGAATACAGAGTGTCACCACCCCTATTCATCCCTTGGGTGTTGTAAGAGGCGACTAAGGGCAAAAACTACACAACAGCACTGCAAAGAGAAGGAAAACTTAAAACAAACCCTATACCAACCCGTCTTGTCAGCGTGGTATAGTAGGCCTAATCCTCCATTGTAAGGAGAGGCTTATGTCCAGCAGTGGTCTGTTAAGGGCTGTTGATGATGAAATAAAATGCCAAAACAAAAGTATGGAACATATTTAAAAGTACCTCAACCTAAACGCTCACGAGTACCTTAGCAAAATCGTTTTTTAACAAAAAGGTCATATGCTCTTAAGGTTTTAGAGTCAGAAAAGTAAATTTAAGCACAAGTTGATGACAGACTTCAATAATTCCCAACCCTCAACCCTATTTCATGTTCAACGAACGAACGGTTACGTAACATTAATGTTAGTTTAGATTGCTAAACGTTACACGTATCCCCTAGAGGAGGGTTGACAGTGGAGTCATATCGCAAGTTAAATTGAGCTCGTTGTTAATTCAATGGTGTGAAGGCTCACTTCAAAATTGCGATGTTTTAAAAACTGTGACCCTACGTGAATTAAATGTTTACGTTGTACAGAATATTAGCTTTATCCTGCTCCTCTTCGCTGTGCCATATTGTGGTTGAATTGATGAAAAATGAAGAACAAAACTGACGCGAAAAATAGTTAAAACAATCTTAAGTGGGTTGTCTATCGTTTCGAAATTTAAGTTCAAATTGTGCTGAAATTTCCGAGGTTTTGAAGTGTACACAAACTAACTCACGTTTCAGCGTACGTTTCACGTACATATATACTAGTTGTGCCTTGTTATGTTGTTTCCTGCGCTGTACCCTTTTTTTTAATAAAAGGAAACCTAGTTATCTTTTAACCCTCATAATATTAGGTCTTTACCTATGAAATTGCCGTTTTGTATACAATAAGTGTAAGTACTTATTTTTTCAAACTTATTTATTTCTGTTATTCGAAGTAATCACCCATGCAATTGACGCATCTTTGCCAACGCATTGGCAGTTTATTATGTGATGTTGGCCGATTCTCAGACCTACCCGGTCTGAGAATCGGCCAACTTCTATTTTTCATACCCCTAAATGGTAAGGGTTTGCTTTGCATTACAACGTTTGCCGGGTCAGCTAGTTATATTATAAATATATGCAAATTTTAAAACAATATACTATGATACATAATAATAGCACATAAGGAGTGAGTTCTTTCTAACATACATAAACATATCAAGAATAAGTAATATAAATAATTTCTTAAATTGCACAATTTCTTTCTTCAATGATAAATGAAGAAAAACTAATCCGATTATCGTTGAAAGCTAAAGATTTAAACTGTCAGGAAATGAAGCGATATAGAGACGCCATTTTTTTGTTAATCAGAAAAGTGCTCCATTAGAAATGAAACCGATGTTAATCAAATTGCCATCAATCAAAAAATGTCCTTGCCCTGGGGAAAAGTTATATCCGGAGAGGAAATCAAGTTAGTTATCAGTGGTCGATTACCGTCATGTGTGGTACATGTCATAAGAAATTAGAGCCTACCCTTATATACCTATGTGTATATCTAACTAGTTCGTAAAATACCCTGTTTAAATAATTAGGGTACAGTATCTGTCTTAGACTTAAGCAATGTGATTAAACCTTATTGGTTTGCGTCGGATATCTCCTATTTGGTCATCATCAACAGCCTTTATTTGTCGACTTCTGGACATAGGCCTCTCCTTAGAAAGGAGGTTTTGACCAAGTATGTAACGCTGGCCAGACGGTTTGGTATAGTGTTTGTTTCAAGTTTTCCCTTAGTCGGCTCTTACGACACCCACGAGATGAATAAGGGTGGTGGCACTCCGTATTCTTAATCCGTCACCACACGGATAAGTCTCCTATTTGGTAGATGTGTAAAATATTTTTAAGAATAAATGTACATTTTGCTTCTGCAAGGTGCTATCACGACATACGAAAGGTCCATTAAAGACAGCTTAACATATAACAACACACGACAAGTTAATTTATGCAGGCCTTTTTGCACATAATGTCACTGTTCTCGATGTTTTAGTTTTCAATAAAGCTTTTATTATTATAAGATTTGTAAAACAAATATCACTTCGGTACATGATTTGTGTTTTTTAAATGACGATATGAATCTGTTATATTTATAAAATTGTTTATAGAATTTATTATTATATTTTTCCTCATAATCACTTACGCGTTACGACTTCCGTCTGTGCCTCCGACATGATAAAAAAGGCGTTTTAAACATCCACATTTTGCCAATTTTAATATATTATATTGGTTGTTATATTTATATTAAGATAACTTTGGCAAGAATGAAAAGTATTAAAAGGAAATTATGTTTCGAGAATTTTCCATTAAAAAGAGTTATTGTTATTTGATTTTACAAGTAACCAATTTCTTCAGGTGAAGAGATAAATAAATATATTTTTTAGGAAGCAGATTAGTTTTATATGTATTATCATGTTTAAATCTACATATATAAGAGGTACTCGTATATTTGGAACAAGTTAATAACAAACAAGAATTAACATTTTAATTCATGAGTCTATACCTTGGAGCAAACTGCGTACGAGAGCTAACAAAAGGAAATGAAAAGTGTGATGTTCTACAGCACAATCGATCTACGAACGATTGCGATTCATTTGAAGCCTATTTGTACAAACATAGATGTGTATATATGCAGCAATATTTAGTAGTGGAGCATAAATTGTGTACTAATAGTATATATATAGACATTCAGAGACGCCTGAAGTTTAGTTAGCTGGTTTCTTGCCCTTAACTGGATCTTTTGGGGATAAGAGAATATCGAAAGTGTAGTGTGGGCAAGAATGGAAGTTAATGTTGTTTACATGGACGAATTTTTGCGTAAGCTTTTTTGTACACAATAAAATACACGCTTTCTATCGGATGGTTTAAAATATTTCATTAACAGTGATGATTAAGCCATTGTGCCTCAATCAGAGTATAAATTATAATAATAACAATATACACATCTCACACAGGGCCGTCTGAATCCAAACTAGGCAGAGCCGGTGCTGTGGTAACCAGACTGCTTATAAACATACTTATATATCTGTAATATACACATCATAGATAAATTACATCCAGACACATAACAAATGATCGTGTCCATCAATTTTTTGTCCTGGTCGATTCTCACAATCGATTGTGTGAGTGTAGCGCCACTTCAATGTGATGCCTGAACGAGGAAACAATTATTATGCTCTTTTCTTAAAGTGGGTCCACACACTACTAGGGTTCTTGTTAAACCCTCAAACTAGACTAATATTGTGTTACTATTGTGTACTTACTATTATATTACTTAAGTGCTAGAACTCAGCTTAATTTGACTAAATTACTTTTGATTTTGATGTTTCATCAAATACAATATCGGTTATTTGTAAGGGACATACATTAAATACTAAAACATAAATAATAAAATAATATTATATTTCTAATTTATCAATACTATTTATTTAAAAAATGTCTCTTTATGGTGTTTTAAACTTGAGCTGTTTCGTTAATGTAAATCTTGTTTCCGGCATCTGTTTCTTGTTATGCATCGCTTTGTTTCTAGGAGTGTACGAAGCCCGTTCGTACGCAACTTTTCTGTTCATCAGAGTGATCATATGTAGAAGATCCAAGTGATTGCGGTACTTGGATATGATGTGACAGAGAGCTTGGATCATCCAGGAACCGTTAGCATCTCGGTACGAGAGATAATCTGAAATGAATAAAAATAAAACTACGAGTACTTATTTTAAATTAGTATAGAAATTTAGCGAACTCTTCTGTGACTACAGAGGAGTTCGCTAAATTACTCTGTGTCAAGGAATTGTGAGTTTATAATATTATATTCTTCTTTTCTTTTAAACAAACATTTCTTTACTTAATAATATACGCATACCTAACTATGTAACCGACCATAGAGAAATTTTGAGTACAGATGACAATTAGTAAGGAAGGGGATATAGGGTGTATTTCATTCTGAAAAGTTTTGTTAGCAAGGGATAGAAAAATAAACATTACGTGAGTGGAGCCTAGTATCTTTATACTAGCTAGTTAGCTAGTATCTATATATTAAAGGTATTTTTTTTAATAATCACTTTACACATGTCACAGACGGTCATCTGATCCCAAATAAGACAGAGCCTGTACTATGTTACCCAAATATATATAAATAAACATACATAGTATGGATTTAGCAACGTATAAGTGTGTACACACATCTGTATATAAAATACACTTAGACACAGAATAAATGATCGTGCTCATCACACAATTACTTGTCCTTGGTGGGAATCGAACCCACGAACTCTGTCTATGCAGTCAGGGTCACTAACCACTAGACTTTAGGTACAGGAATTAATGTTGCACGTAAGTCCTAAAAATTTGATTTTGATTCGAATTAGCGAAAATTGATAAAATATTCGAAACTCGATTTGAACGAGTGTTTCAGGATTTACCCGCATCCTGCCAGTTATAAGATAATTATATTTTATGTTACTAGGGCACTTTAGTTAAAACATTTAACTACTCATAAATAATAATAAGTACATGAAAAGAGCCACTACTCTGATTGAATATCCAATACCTTAAATTCACTTCAATGGTGACACCAAGGCGTTATACCTTATACGGGGAGGAGGGGGGGGGGGACTATTTGAAGTTAAAAACAAACCTTCAACAGTCGAGCACAGGATTAGGAAGTCAGCGTGTGTAGGTACAGTGAGGAAGCCAACACTGTCCAGATGTACAGTTTTACCTGCATCCATTTTATCGCCTCTGCAAGCCTGGGAATCGAAAGTATTAATAATTAGATTTTTAATGATTTTATGTTAAGCGCAGCTCAGCGCTCGTGGAATCAGTATCCCCATTTAACGCTAATAGAAATGGACAAAAGGATAGAAAGTAATTAACTTATTAAGGTAAGCAGTCCCTCAATGCATTATTTACGTTTAAATAGCGGTTTATGCAGTGCAGGATAATATGGTTTTCAAATTCAAAATCTTTGTTTCATAAAATTGCTTAACAGTTATTGGATTTCAGGAATTAAAATAAAATTTAATTTTAAACAAAGTCATTGTTACAATAAGTTGTTTTAACACATGTTTACAACACAAAAAAATAAATTATAATAGATAGCAAATAATAAAGTATCTGTCTGTGTGCTATATAACATTACAGATCAAAATGGTTGAGCTCAGTGAAAATAAATCAAGTAAACAAATTCTTTTAAATAACCAGATACCAATGTTTAGCACATTCTATTACATCACAGTTTTGTCAAAAGATGTAACCAACATCCATCCGTTATCACAAACTCTCACGTTTACGTAAATTGTTTTGGTTTTACGTCAACCTATATATTCCAACAGAAGAATTTAATAAACTTATAAAAAGAATAGGGTAGAACCCTAAGGATCTAAATCTGAATTGTCATTCATTATCAATTTAATGTTTTTATTGTTTTGATATTTTCAATCAACATCAAATATAAATGATTTAACAATAGCAAGGTCTGACGTCACGCCATAGTATATGATACAAAAATGTATCGAGTCTATCAGTTTGACGTTTTATAAAAGTTACTGATTTGACTTATCAGGCATCTACCCCATTAAGCGGTGATTGCGTAATGGCTAAAGAGCATTGCGATCGAGAGGTTGCGGGTTCCAACACTCCATACTTCCCTACCAATTTATTTTTAAAAACAGCTCCCGCACTATTAATATATCCTTTGTCGCGGGGATTTTACACACATACATAAAATGGACACAAAGAACATCCAGACTCGGAACAACTATTTGTGGATTACACAAAGTGTTTTCCCATATGAGGATCGAACTTACAACACACAGCGCGGTAAGAAACGGCGAGGGGACCGCTTAAACCACTACGCCATTCGTGCAGTCTATTAGTCCATTAAACTTGAGCAGAGAGACTCAAAGTGCTAAAGTAGTCTGTGACACACGTTACTAGTTTTTTATTTAAAAATATGCTAATTTACCTGTATAAAGAACACCTTAGGTTTATTAACAAGTGTCGGCTCCATCTCAAATATGGTGAGGACATCACTCAATAAATAAGGTCGGTCTGCGGCATGAAGTTCTCCGCCCTTATCTCCATGAGTCAGAATTGTAATAAACAGACAGGACGTATCGGCGTGGCCTTTCGATGCGACTAAAATAAAGTTTTAAATAAAAAATTGCAGTTTTAATCAATTAATTTAAAATCCATTTTTCTTTTTTTAATAGAGCTGATAGATGTATACCGAAGTGGTAGGTTTCAGATATATATTTCGACGGTGTAGTGGCAATATGTGCCTCCTCACTGTCATTCGAAGAAATATTTTCTTGTTAGTATTTTAAGTCACTGTTCGCTTGTTAAGTGAAATGTCCGATGTCTGTTAGTTCCCACAGCATTAAACATAAATGTAGAAATAATTTCCAACTAAACTAAATTTCTTTTCAATGTTTTTTTACTAAAAATAACCAAATTACTGCTACTTTAAAATAATACAATATTTCTTTTTAATGGCAAAAAAGTCTTCTCCAGTTTCTGTAAATTCTCGAATCAGTTAGAAGTTATTGGGACTTCCCCGTCTTTACATTTGCTATAGTTGCTTAGCCGTGTGTGTGGAAAGAATATAAAGAATTTATAAAAACAACTAATGATTATATAAGTTCACTAAGTCTATCAGTAGTGACAATATCACTATTTATATAGAAAGATAGGCGAGAGTCATCGTACACGCATTCTATATATAATATATTGTAATTAGAAATCGAAGAAATTGTTGTCAGATAATAGGGAATATGCACGTGACTCCAAAATGGACAAAATATTTTTATTTGTAAACTTTATTACTAAAAAAAGATACCTATTTTATTATTTTTGAAATTTATCATAATTAACCGACTTCAAAAAGGAGGAGGTTCTCAATTCGATTGGTTTTTTTTTTTATTAGTTAAATTTGATCATCAAAAATGGCCTTTTTAACATTCCCTCGCAAATTGTGTTCTATGGTTTCTGGTGATCATTATTTTGTATTGTTTTGCGGTTGTTTTATATTACGTTATTAGTTTTCTGTTTTAAAGTATTAAATCCCTGTGAAGAAAGACTGGGCTGAACCTGGAAGGTTTTGTTAAGTCACAATCAGATGATCTTCCTAAATAGACGTGTTTATGATGATCGTAAACTTTTTAAGATATACAATTATTTTTAATCTAAAACCCAGAAATAAAATTAGAAAGGTAAATTAAAATACTTTAAAACTTCTCTCCTACTCGAATAAGTTAAGTAGGTATATGTTTTTATTCATATGGATAAATACCTATGTATGAGATAAAGAGAATATAATTATTTTAAGTAGGTACTAGCCGAACATGTTTTGTGGCTTATTATACACATACATACTTATATAATTCTTAAGAATACAACATAGCCATGTAATGTATCATCAATCATCATCATCAACAGCCTTTAATAGTACACTGCTGGATATAGGCCTCTCCTTAGAAAGAAGGTTTTGGCCTACCATACCACGCTGGCCAGACGGGTTGGTATAGGGTTTGTGTGCTGCCGGCGAACCGGGCGGCGGAGGCGCGCCTATCACCGCCTCATGCCGCCCTGAGTGTGGCCGCGGGTGGACGGGGTGGGTTTCCCCTCCACCCGTATTAGTTTGGCCAGCCGCGAGGGGGCGGCGTCCGCGTGTGCCGGACGTCGCCTAAAGAGAGGAAAATTTTGAGACGGAGCCCGCACCAGGAGCGGTCTGGCGCTAGGAGGGGTCCGGATGTCTTAATAACAGCTGTTCCCGGATCCCTCCTGTTACAGGCGCAGAGTGGCACACCGTGTGGTTTTAGTCGGTCCGAGTCCGACACACCACCCCGCCGCAAACCCCGGTGGGGTGACGGTCCGAGGGGATTTCCACACGTTAAAAAAAAAAAAGAGTTTGTGCCAAGTTTTCCTTCTTTTTGCAGTGCTGGTGTCCTGCGTTGTTTTGCGCCCTTAGTCGGCTCTTACGACACCCACGGGATGAATTGGGGTAGTGACATTCCGTATTCTTAATCCGTCACTACACGGACATGTAATGTATTGTGAAAGAATAAAACCAATAAATAAATAAACCTTTACTTACGAACTTTTCGTATACTAGGTTATGTTTTCATCGAAGTTTCTAAAAAAAAACATGTGCAGGCAACTAAGTAAAAATGATCTTCACAACAGTATAAACGGCTAAATTATCGCACAGCACGACAGTATAAACGATACATTGTCCCTTCTTGCACCATTTTTTCCTTAAACCTGTATCTTTCGTCGTAAGGAAATTTACTTTGTCTGGTGCAGTTTTGATGTTATTTTGGCACGTAGGGAAGACACAATATTTATAATAAACTTTTCTGTGCTTTGCCATGGTAATAAGTTGGTTTTATCACTCACTTTTTTTATTTCAGTAACTTTGTGAACCAAACACTTCTTGGTTGAGATGGAAATTCTCAGTGATCTGACGTCACAGAATAAGCGCGCCAAAATGGCCGCGTTTAAATCGTACGAAAATAATGGTGATTACTGTATATTTAGTTTTGGTAATGTAATAAGTAGTAGAAACGTTTAAAAAAAGACATGAATATTCTCTATTATTATTGAATTTGCAAAAACAAATTTCGCAATGGAACTAGAATATATGACAGCTTTTAAATTCGGGGATTTCCCGAAACTTGTTTTTTTCATTACTTTCATTTTATTGAGCTTACCCTCTCTTAGATTTTTCATAATATCGTCGTATTCTAGGTTTGTAAACACAGTTACTTTGAAGCCCAAATCTCCAAACAGCGATTTGAGGGCACTAACATCCTTATCGGTACCATTCCTTGTAGCGGGTTGCTGATTCCTGAAAATATAATGTGATTTATTCATTTAAATATTCAAATTTCATTAAATTCATAGTCATCATGGAAAAGGTTCCTTAGAGGAAGGGAAAAATTGTTCCAATATTTTTATTATAGAAAATATTTAAACTCATTAATATTGTAATCATAGTTTTATACAGAGTTGGCGTAATAGCGTACATTAAATAATATTATAAAGTATTTTGATTAGTTGCTTTACAACATGCCGGATCACATCACACATCACATCAAGACACTTTAATAGTCCACTGCTGGACATAGGCATCTCCTTAGAAACAAGGTTTTAGCCTACTATACTACGCTGGCCAGACGGGTTCTTATATGAACGGGATGAATAGGGGGTGGTGACACTCCGTATTCTTAATTCATCACCACACGGATAGCTGGCCGTAGTCGGATGCGTGAACCAACAAATGTAGTCATTTTCAGATGATACAATACTTGTGTGTTGGTTTTGTAATTAGAGAAGAGAGGCCTCTAGGACCATAGAAACAGAAAATCGATTATTAACTTTTCTGAGTTAATAATATCATAATCGTTTGGGTTAAAATGGACCAGCCATTTTTTGAGGAAAGAGCGTACTCCTTCCTCAAAGGCTGGCAACGCGCTTGTGACTCCTGAGTTGCAGGCGTTCATGGGCGGCGGTAGTCCATCAGGTGACTCGTCTGCTCGTTTGCCCAAGTTTTATTCCATAAAAAAAAAACTAGGAATTGTACTGACTTGAAATAAACAGTTTTCTTAAAAGTATGTTGATTTAAAATGACCAGATGTTTATCACCGCTCATGTCGTAGTACATCGAGTCCGGGTCGAACTTGAGTCCTTCCTCTTTTGGGATTGTGGCAGCAACACTGGATAAAAGATATAAACACAATATTTCATTTATAACACGTTCTGGTAAAAGGGGGCTGAGGGGCTCGTGGCTAAGCATCGCAAAGTTAAGCAATCTTAGCTAGGACAGTCTATGAATGGTTGATATAGGATTTGCCAATAGTTATGGGTACTTGGAGCCCTAAATGATCCGGCAGTTTCTACAAAACTTCGATATCGAATAGAAATGGAGTCCTGAAGGTCTGATAGTAGTTGTTCCACGTAAAAAAATGAAATACAACCATATCGTAGTAGACTTTAATCCGACCCCAACCTGGTTTGGGAAAAGGGCTCATAGGAAAAGGCTCTGAAACATTAAGACAACTATCCTCCTATTTTGTACCCAAATGTACCTTTATTCTAATGTTATAGAATAGTAAATATGCTTACTATTTTCAACAAGAAGTATTATAACAGTATATTGACACATTAAATAGATAAAAATACACTTACTCACCTAGTACTCAAAGGATTTAAGTTAAACCCTTTTGCATCTATTGCAGACTCTTCCATATTTACGTCACTGTTTTCCATTTTAAATTGATATTTAAAAAAAAGGAAACAAACACGTTTAGCTCTGTTTGAATAACAACAATGTATGATAACAAATATCTGCTTCACGATATAATGAGATAAGCAAGTGATAAGACTAGATATAATATTGATGGATATGAAAGTGCCGTAGAGTTGATAATTCCTGTTTCGTTTTTGTTTAACTGTGTACCCAGCGTATATTGTACAATATGACCAGTAGGCTTAAGAAGAGAATTTGTCCGGTAAAAATGTGTATTTATAAGTTTTAAATGTTGGATTTGCCGTTGATAAATTTAATTTGTGGAAAGCGAGTAATAAAATACACTAGGTTTTGCCTGCGACTCCGTCTGCGTTTTTGTTAGTTATCGTTTTAAAAAGTAGCCTATGCCTGTAGTCTTGTCTTTCCTCAAGAATAAGTATGCAATAACAAAATCTATCCGTACCAAATTTTTATCTTAATCGGTTCTGCGGTTATTGATTCCCTATACAAACTTCCACCCCCCATTTTACCACCTAAAAGCATGATTTCTGGGTTAAAAACTATATCCTTTCTCAGGACTCGGGCTATCGTTATACCAAATTTCATCTAAATCTTAGTCTCTAAGGGATTAGATATTCTATTTGTAAGTATATATAATATTCGTTCAAGCAGTTCTACTCTGGAATGCGCTGCCGGTTGAAGTCAGGATGTCTACAAACCGTTAAGTATTTTAAAAAGAAAGTACACATTCTTCTTAATGAGACGGCAGAATCGTCAAATCGATAGTGCAGCAGCCAATTTTTCTACACTCATGGTGTACGAATATAATGCCAATATATGTTTGTATGTGTGTAGATACACATATATATATATAGTGAATGTATGTGTATTTATATATTTGTATATGTATATATATACGTATATGTGTGTGTATGTATGTGTATATATATTTGTATATGTATATATATACGTATATGTGTGTATATGTATGTGTATATATATGTGTATAGTGTGTATTTGCTTGTGTATAAAATTACGTGTGTTGTGTTGTGTAGTGTATATCTTAATGCTTAGTGTTATGAACTATATGCGTTGCTACATAAAGGTTGACGGGGAGAGAATGCCTTGGGCTTTAAGTCCGCCGATGTACAAATGTGCATAAAGTTATAAATAAATGAAATAAAATAAATATATATTTTTAAATCACTATGAAAACTTCAAAGAGGGGAGTTCATTCCAAGCTGCAGACAAACTCGCAATACCTTCCGTTCTGTTCCCATTTTCCCTCAGGTTTTAATTAAAAATAAGGTGCTACAACTATCAACGACTCAGACTATCATAGCTCTAATATTTGAGATTGTTGTAAAACCAGTGCGCAGCTTATAGCAATGAAATCAGTATCCTATGGAAGTTATTGAAGAATATTAGTGTTAATAATAAAATAATAGAAAATATTACTTTTGCCGTACCTTCGTAGTCTTTTATTTACGTGGCGACACCCATGTTGTGTAAAAACTTCGTTATATTTACAAACGTTAATAATTAGACTAAAATAAGATTTCTTAAAATTGTCTACTTTACAACCCGAAATTATGCACAATCATTAAATGTATAGGTATCTTAAATGTACTGTAACATAATGCCCTCTCTAAACATCTATTGTGCAGGTGTAAAAGCCTGGTATAATTACCACACCGTCTTGTACACACCGCCCGGTATCCCGGTCCATTTGTTAGCTGATCGGTATATCCGGCCGCCATTACTGACCGCTCCATTGACCTCGCACCTTAAATCGCCCGTAAAACCGGGTAAATTACTTTGTAACAATACCTCAGTCTAAAACAGTTAAGAATTTAAATGAAATAGATTGATAGTATTATAAATATGCTGGAGCTTTATAGTTAAGACACTTGTGATTCATCAGTTCTGATTAGAAACCATTCATTGACGGGTTTCTTGGTCTAGTGGATAGTGATGGTGACTGCTAAGCCGAAGGTTGTGGGTTGGAACCCAAGACAAATATTGTGCGATGAGAACGATCATTTGTTCTGTAGTCATATTCATCAGCCTACTTCCGCTGATGAACGAAGCCTCCCATAGGGGCGCTAACCAACCCGGTCTTGGGCAGTCTGTATCTGGGTGTAATTTATTTATAGTATGTATGTAAATATGTATGCTGCCTATGTCCAGCAGTGGACTATCATAGGCTGTTGATGATGATTGATGATGATGTATTTAAAAATATATAAAAAATTCAGCGATCTGGTTATATGTACAGGCTCTGCCTAGTTTAGGACCAGACTGCCGTGTGATAGATGTGTGAAGGTATAATTATTATTCCAGTTACCAACCGGAATTTAGAAAACAGAAATATATGAATATGAAGATGAAATTTAGTAGTGTTTGAGCCAAGGGCTTGTGATATAAACATTTTTATATGTTATAGCGTTTGGACCTACCGGCAAGATCCAGTTTGAGTTACAGAAATGTGATCCTGACCTGCTCAAAGTTTTGCTTGCACTATTCATCCGTATAAGCAAAATTCATTTATTACTTTCCTTTCATTAAACCTCCAATTTGCCTAATAAATTCCTGAGAGAAACATAGTTCAAGTCATAGTACAAGTTCTAGCGCCGATTAATAATATAATAACTGCACACAAAACACATACGGCTGTCTGATCCCAAATTAAGCAGAGCCTGTGTTATGGTGACCAGACTACTGATGAACATACTTAAATATTTCTAAATATGTTCATATTATAGATAAATTACACCCAGACCCAGCAAATGATCATGCTCATCAAACAGTATTTGTCCTGGGTGGGAATCGAACCCTTCGGCTTAGCATTCAGGGTCACTAACCACTAGACTAACAGGCCAGTAATTTTAACATAAACAACTACACAACCTCCCTTTGTGTTGGATCCCTCAAACAGGAAGGGAATTGTTTATGTTATTGTTTGTTCGTAATACCGGTTCTTTCACATACGTATGTATTTATTTACATTAGACCGAAGATAAGTTCAAACTTTTTAACAAACAAAGTTTCTAAAATCAATAACTTTGTATATGTATGTGTATGTATATTTATAAGAATGTATGTAAGTATATGAATATGTATGTGTATATGTATGTATGGCTATATCACAGTCACTGTGATTTTCAGCGCTTATGTACTGTGTGATTTGGTTGATTTTTTTCTTGTTTATCTGTTTTTTCTTGTTTATTTTTTATTATTTTCCTAACCCATTCGCTTACAGTAACTTTTATTAGTTTGTAACTAGAAGTGAAAACTGGTAATTGGCTCTCAGATGAAATAAATAAGTTAAATGTTATACTCCTTAATAAATGTTTACTCTAAATGCGCACCACAAACTACTAGGACTGTATTTGTGTATTTACTATACACGGTTACTATATGGTCCATCTGAAGGTTGCCTGTAAGAGACCGCTAGATTTGTACCAATGTTTTTTTTTTGAATATTTTCTGGGATGGGAGCGTAAAATGTGTAACAAGACTTTTTTCCGACACTTTTCGCTATAGTTTCAGTCGTGTATGAACTATACATATCGCCACACACAGCTTTCTTAATTATTCCAGACCATTCAGTGTTTAATTTATCATTATTTATTTTATACATTATAAATAAGTTTTATCATAAAATTTTAAATTTAAATATATTAACTTCATATTTTTTAATTTAAATTATAAAATATCAAGTTAATATATATATATATAGCGTATAGCAAATGTCTACCAAAAAACGATCGGAGGTCCATAGACTCCTCACGCCGTTTTTTATTTGTATTTAGCATTGTATGTTTCCTATTCATGGTTTGCAATAAAGGGTATCCACCTACCTATGTTTCTACTCCATCCATAATATCCTCAGTCATATCTATCAAACATTAAGTAATGAGTTTACCATTCCATTGACCGAGTAATGAATGACTAATTTACAAAGACATGCTCATCAATCAGCCCATAGCGAGGAGCTCCCCCTGACCTCCTCGCTATGGGCTATAAAACATTTTGAGATAATATTTCACCCATCAATCACTATGCGGACCTTACTTGCCTTACCTTCGGGATCACATCTTCAGAAATTGGCCTTGTACAATATTAACAAGTAAGTGACATGTTTTAGACCTCTTCTTGTTTGTAGGTAACCATTACCAATTTTATCTCCAAAGGACCTACCTTTATGTCAGCGTACAAATACCCAAATGGACTCCACAAGGTGTTCGTGGTACAGTTTAATGTTTGTAACCCATGCTAATGATGCACCTACATTGGAAATAAAATAAAAAAACTATTTTACAAAAGTTAGCAATTCTTGAAGTATTTCACAATAATAGAATGACAGTTCTGTTTTCCTAGTGGTTAGACTCTAAGTGCTAAACCATGTCGTGGGTTCGATTCCAACCCATGACAAAGAATTGTGTTATGAACACGATCATTATTCAGATCAAAGAAATTTCTTTTTCCAAAACTTCTTAAAACAAACATTTAATAGTATAACTATGTTTATCAGCAGTCTGATTGCCATAGCACAGGGTCTGCCAAGTTTGGAATCAGTCATCCGTGTGAGTCGTTTAAAGTTGTTAGTATTGTGTAATGATAAAACATATTTCCTTCTTCTTAATCTTTGTGTGCTCCAATGTTATTATCCACAACAAAAATAGGTTAATTTTCTAATAACCGATTTAGGCTTTCAATTACAAAGAGCTTTTTTTCTAATATTCATCATCATTATCAACAGCCTTGAATAATCTACTGCTGGGACATAGGCCTCTCTTTAGAAAGGAGGTTTTGGCCTACTATACTACGCTGGCCAGACGGGTTGGTATAGGGTTTGCAGTGCTGTTGTCCTGCGTAGTTTGCTCCCTTAGTCGGCTCTTACGACACCCACGGGATGTATAGCGGTGGTAATACTCTGTATTCTAAATCCATCACCACACGAAATACTAATATTCATAAATTGTTAATTCTAATCGAAACCAAGGAATTGCCGAAC